ATGTCATCAGAAGTTGATTTGACTCGAGAACATTGGTGCAAACTGTTGCATTCAGTATGCAGAATGTAGAAACTCTCCAAAGTCCTGCAGGAACTCTGAGTTTTAACCGCCGACACTCGTGTGCGTCTCCAGGGGCCTGGATTCTGACCAACGGCCTTCGCTTTGGCATCACCAAGCACTTGGGCCAGGCGGTGCGAGATCACTCGCTGGCCAGCACCTCCTCCAAAGTTCGCGTGGTGGCCATTGGCATCGCACCCTGGAACATGATCCACAACCGAGAGGCGCTGCTCGCCGCCAAGGTTCCTGCTCACACACACACAACAATGGCTGCAGCACCTACGAGCAAACCTTCTCCCACGTTCCTCTTTCTATGTGTTCCTCTCGTTTCAGGGGGACGAGCCGGCGGTGTACCAGCCCCAGGACCTGCCCCACGGCTCGGTCTACTCCCTGGACAGCCACCACTCTCACTTTGTGCTGGTGGAGGAGGATCCCAACAGACCCGGAGCCACCAGCGAGATGAGGGTGAAGCTGCTGAAGCACATCTCTCTGCAGCGCACCGGATACGGAGGTAGAACCCAGAAACAGCAGGTTTCAGACTTGTGCAGAACTTTCTGGTCCAGTGCGTGTCAGCAGTGCACTCTAACAGTTAATTAAATGCATAATTGGAAGATAAAAAAATCTAATTTACTGATTTAGACAAACCAGGAGAGCTGCAAACGTTGTTTTAACTGATGAGGCGACTTAATGATGTTGCATCGACTTAATGTTTGGTATCATTTCAACTTAAATTCATGCATGAGTGGATTTTAAAGTTAAATTAGATGATAGATAGGTAGATAGGTAGATAGGTAGATAGATAGATAGATGATAGATAGATAGATAGATAGATAGATAGATAGTTCAGGTGTCCTCCTCTACCTGTAAAACAAATTCAGACAGCACTTAACTTGGGAATATTTACAGTTGTAGGCGGCAGTTGGTAGTTCTGTTGTCTCGCAGCTAGAAGGTCGCNGTTGTTCTCTCTCTGCTTCTAGACGTAATCGAGCCACGAAGGTGCACGACTTTATATTACAGTAAAAAAAAAAAAAAAGAGTCAGGAAAAATGTGAACGAAGTGAGAAATTGCTCCGGCGCAATTTCTCCAGAGTGCATCTAACATCTCGGAGAAGTTGCCACAGTCGGATTTATTTGGTGTCTGTTGCTTCGTGCTCTCGGTGTAATCCTGAACAGACTCCCTGGTTTTAAAATCAGTGCTCTGTGGGGGCTGGCCATCTGCTGCAGGACTCCTTCTTCTAGTCACTGAAGATCTGCTCTGTGTGTGTGTGTGTGTGTGTGTGTGTGTGGTCGTGCTGCTGCTGCAGAGCGGACGTGGGACTCGTTCCTCCCTCATGTGTTGTGTTATAGAGGATCTAAATAGCCGGAGTGCAGGAGGGGATCATTTATTTGGTGTTTGGAGGCCTGCAGCTCAGTGTTCATGCTTCCGAGGCTTTTGTGTATCCCCGGCTCAGACGTCAGGCAGGAAGGACTTTGCATGTGAAGCGAGAATGAAAATCCTGCCAGCTTTGCATTGACCACAAGGGCTCCTGAGAAGCTCTCCACGTGTTAAAAGAGTGGCCAGTGAGTCATAATGGACTTCAAATGACATAATGCCTGCCTGCTCATTTGCTTACAGGGAACATTACAGCCGCAGACGAGATGCCTGCGATGTGGAGACGTGCTGGAGTGGTCGGAGGAGCACAGGTGTGCAGCACAGCCATTGTTCTACATCATCAGATCAAATGTAAAGCCTTCACCGGCCCAGCTGTTAGGTCATAATATTAGGATCTGCTGCAGGAGGCCAACGTTTGTGCAGAAGTTTCTGTTGAAATGATTTAATTCTCAGCTGCAGAACAAAACGCTTCCTCCAACACTGAGAGTTATTCCATGATTAATACGACGACGTGGAAGACTTGAACAGAGCAGCTTCCACCATAAAGCAGTTATTTTAATGATAAATGACTGATGCATTTTTAATCCATCTCTGCATCCGGATCTGCTTTTAACGTAAAAATCCATTGTGACACCGCAGAGATTTACACAATTAGGGATGAGAGTTAGAGTTATAGCACAGAATAAATTAATGAGTTGTGTCAAAAGACAGAACAAAAGTGCTGTTGGAGCTTTCAGCCGCGCTAAGTCTTAATGATGGCAAAGTATTTGTACAAATCAAGCCAAGAAAGGTGCAAAAAGAGAGGAGAAGGTGAATTTATTAAATGTCTGTCGACTTAAAAACTTGTGTTTGTGATAATTAAGCACACGAGACACAAAAATGTCTTCTGAATAATTTTGTTTTTTTGAGTAATCAACTTTGAGACCGTCTCTGCTTTAGCATAATATCCATCGTGATGCTGCAGAGATTTGAGATTTAGCCAATTAAGGTTAAAAGTTAGAGTTATAGCACAGAATAAATTAAAAAGTTGTGTCCTGGTGTGTGTCAAAAGACAGAATAACAGCACTTTTGGAGCTTTTAACTATGCTAGTTGTCAATTATGGCCAAGTATGTATACATATATTTGTACAAATGGAGGTAAAAACACAATCATTTGGACAGAAGTGGATGTGGCGTCTAATGAATGCTTCACCGTTCAGGATCCAATCCAGGAGGATCCAGAAACATCCACGTTGGCACAATAATCTTCAGCCTTGTTAGATTCGTCTTCATCTTTCATTTTACTTCCCTGCCGTCAACAATGATATTCTTTGAGTAGCTTTTCTAAAAATCCTTTCTAAATAATAAGCAAACAGAGGAACACAATGAACCTGGCAGACGTGAGCGGATATTTCTGTTCGCTCCCATCTGGCCGTCGCTCCGGAGGACTTTTCGTGTTCTTCTCTAATTTGTGGGGAAATTTTAAATTTGTAGTGTTTTTGCCTTGAAATACACAAATGCAGCTCTGGAAATAAACGGTGACCAACAAGAACGTTGCTGTTGAATTGATTATTCTTCCTAAAACCTAAAATTACATGAGAGAGAAAAAAGGATGGAAGATAATGGAATTGGAGCAACCTAATTTTAAAAAATAAAAATATGTGTTTGTGATTACAATAGTTGAGTACATACCACACAAAATTCATTTTTAATAATGTGGGAAAAGTTCTATTTTTGTATGTGTAATTAACTTAAAACTGTTTCTTCATGTTACCAATCAGTAGGTAGAAAATATCTAAAAAGATAAAACCTGAACAACAGCAATTTTTTTTTATCATCTAAAAAAATATTTTTTGCGAGGTAGGTGCTTGCAAAAAATATTTTTTTAGATGATAAAAAAAATTGCTGTTTTTAAAATGATGTGAAAAAAAAAATATATATATATATATTTTTTAATCAGTAATTAACTGTAAGAGGTGTGTTAGTGTTGTCAATCATTAGGTAATTTTAAAAAAATACCAAAAGAGGGTAAAAATGAACAAAAACGCCCAAAAATCCAGGAAATCAAATCAGAGCAAATTAATTTTTTCTATTTTTTTGTCAACTTAAAAATGTGTTAATTTTTCTTAAAATAAGATACAAAACACACAAACAAAAACCCTCTCAAATAATGTGGGAAAAAGTAATGTTATTTAATTAACTTGTGTGTTTATGTTACCAATCAATTATTATTATTACACCAATTAAATAATTAAAAATATTTAAAAACCTAAAACACACACAAAATACCACCAAAGATCTATATGGAGCAACTTCATCTTTTAAAATTTCTTATCATCTTAAACACTTATGTCCATAATTCTGTTAATTAGGTACATAACACTTAAAAAATCCTTTTAAATAATGTAAAAAAGACGAGTGTGAATAATTTATTTTAATGAGGAATCAATGCTACCAGTCAGTCAGTAGTTCAAAGTACTTTTGACTGAGGAGAAGCTAACTCAGCTAACTCTGTGTAGCTCACTGCTTGGACATATTTTCATCAGAGGCTGCGTTAAATCTAAAAGATTGATGCAAACTGTTTTTAAATGTATAAACTCACCTATAGTTCCTGTAAAGTTCAGCATTAAACGTACACACATGGTTTGATCAACTCCAGGAGAGCAAGAAGATGCTTTATGAGGAACATGCTCCATGTGAGAAGTAGTGATGTGTTTCCTTTATTGACTCTATGTGCGGTTCTCCCAGCATCCTCCTGGGCTGCTCGTGCTGCTCTACGGTGGACGAGACTCTGGAGAACGTAGCCAGAGGTCTGGCCAGCAGGATGAAGAAGGAGAAGAGCCACTGGGCAGCTGGAAGAGTGGGCGACATCGACTTCCTGGGCTCCACCAAGACCAGAGGGAAGGTGTGAGTGGGAGACACGAGGTGCACCAGGACCTGACCCAACAGAACCACGCACAGCGCTCACGCTCATCTCCCCTTTGGTTGCAGTTCATGAGGGTTCGCAGCAACACGGACCCGGTGCTGGTTTACCAGATGCTGACGGAGGAGTGGGGCCTGGCTCCCCCTCACCTGGTGGTGGCGGTGGTGGGCGGAGACGAGCTGGCTCAGATGAAGCCGTGGCTCCGGGACACTCTGAGGAAGGGGCTGGTGAAGGCCGCACAGAGCACAGGTCAGAAACAAGGGGAACCGGACCGGCCTCGGGGGTCTGGAATCAGAGGGAACGGGTTCTCTGTTGCCATCTTTTGGCTGCCGGCTGAACCACTAGAGACAGCTGAGCCAGAGAAACGGATCGGTGGTGTTTGTTTCTGTCAGAACTTAGTCTGCTCTTCATGTTTGTGCTGAATTGTGTAGAATTCAGTTTCTCATTATGATGTAGAGAATAATCAAATATAACTCAGCACATGTCAGTGGTACACTCTAACACTTAACTAAATGAATTATTGGAAGATAAAAATAACATTTTACTGGTTAAGTAAAACCTGTAAAGTTGTAAAACATTATTTTTATGGACTAGTTGACATTTTAACTTTACATTAACTCGATATTGGGTGTAATTTAAACTCAGTTTTATAGATTTAATGATTTAAAACTAAATTCAAACAGTTGTAACTTAATGAAATTGGCTTAATAACTCAGTTTTCCCTCTCTGTTAAACATACCTGGACAAATTCAGATCTGAAATTTAGGATTTTTTTTTTATTGCAATATGACCAACAGTGGGCTCATATTTAGAAGTTAAATTAAACAATTCTACCCTTAACTTTAGCAGTCTAATGGTTAAAAATGTTAAAGTTTCATGTGACAAATCTGCTGAAACAGTACAACTGTAGGGGAATTTTAAATTTGTGTTTTTTCTGATTTTAAGGTTTGATATCAGGTGATGAAATACACGACTGCTTTTCTATTCATTACTAATATTGCACAATTATTACATGAACTCCTACATGAACACAAATGTGGAATAAATAAAAATGAATTTTACACAAAAAATCTATTCGGATCAACTTTTAAATATGTCAATTACAATACTTATGCACACAAAATAATGAGGGGGAAAAAAAACAAAAACAAGCTTAAACTACATAATTTTACGAGTGAAGTTAAAGACGAGTGTTTATGCTACCAATTGTTAAGTAACTGAACAGAACCTTGTTAAAACATGAAGTTAAAACATGAATAAAAATATAAAAAAATCTAATTGGAGTAACTTGATTAAAATTAATTTTTGGTCATATTTTTAAAAAAAGGGTTAATGATTTTAATAACTACGCAAATATTAAGAAAACAAGAAGCAAGTAACACAAAATTTCTTTAAAATAATGTTTAAAAAATTAGTTGGAATAAGTATTTTTATTATTTATATTTTAATTATTCATTGTTTATTTTCTGATATTATTTAATTAGTTGGAACAACTTATTTTTCATGAATAATTAACTTAAAGAGTTTGCATT